GCCACAATACAAAATGATTAAATGTATAGATGATATACTTAAAATTGAAACTGATGATAAAACAAAGGAAATATATTTAGTGCCTGAAAATAATAATTTGGCAGAATTATTATTCCAGTTGTTGAATATTGGATATGAACCCAGAATTAAATACACAGGTATTATTGATGAAATAAGATTAAGATTGAACAAGATAACATATATCATAAAAACTCAAAATTTAATTAAATCTTCCGGTGATGGATGGATTGCAGTTAGCAATGAAACTACATACAACAATATGAACAAAGCAATGTTTAATTTCAATAAATCCTTATTCATGTCATCGCATAAATCCTTTTATAACGACATTGATATTAAAATATTAAATGAAACAAGAAGTATAGCACCTTCGGGGTTATTATTGAGTAATATCAATTTAGTTTATAAAACAGAAATAGATGTAAATAAAGCATTTACTAAAGGTTTTTTAAATATTAGGGAAATACCAGTATTTAACCAGTTTGACCATTGGAAAAAATACAACGATGAAATTAAAATAGATGAACTCCATGAATTAACTTTATATTATGTTGAAACTATAGACACAAATGTAAGACCGTTAAAAACAACAATGGACAGCATTAAGGAACTAATAGAGAAAAATCAACACACCAAGCAGATGATATATTCTATTGCATATAGTAAAGGTATTGACGTTGCTACTTATATAGAATTTCGTAAAACACATGATTTAAGTTTGTTTTTAAATCCTGATGAATTAAAACAAGCAATTAGAAACATTGTAATAAGTGGTAATCACAACTTATTTTTCAACAAAAAATATAATCTAGTATATGGCAAGTTTTTAAAGGAATTCATCAATGAGAATAAGACACACAAAATCAATATTTTATATTATAAACAACCTTCATTTATTCATAAGGTTGAATATACAAATATTATTAATGAACTTTTACAAACAAATATAGATGAACATGACGAAGCATTAGATAAACTAATTAAAAAGTTAATAGCAAATGTAAATTTTGGATTATTAGAAAAAGGAGGTGCTACAGCACATCAAAGTATTTTATTTAAAAGTATTGATGAAGCAGTCCATTATCAAACAGAATACGGAGGTAAAATTAATAAGTTATCGCATATTATAAGCGAATATCCCGAAATGATAACCGAATATGACGACGAAGGAGGCGCAACTACAACATATTATGGATTTGATGAGGATGAATGGGATGTAAAGGCATCATATTATATATTGAATTTGAAGGATAAGGCAGTATTAAGAAACGGATATAGATATATTAAAGAACTACTTTTACAACATCACAATTTTAAAATGAACCAAGACTTTAAGACACTAATAACTAATAATATTAATATATATAGTGTAAAAACAGATGCTTTTGTAATTGATACATGCAATGAAGAAAAAACAAAGCAATTATTAGAATTTCATGATGATAGGAGGTTGGAAAGTTTCAAAGCAGAGAGATGAAATTAATTTACCTACAGTAAAATTTAACGTTGTAAATAATGAATTAATAAAAATACCAGCTTATGAAAGTAAAACTATTGATATTAAAGATGAATACGACACTGATAACATTATAGAGATTGTTAAACAGAATAATCCTATTATGATCAGAGGTGAACTACCGGGCACAGGAAAATCATATATATGTCAAAAAATGGTTGATAAAAATTATAAGGTAATTTTTATTTGTCCTACTAATAAACTATTACAGGCATTTGAAGGAGAAGCAATGACGATAAATAAATTCTTTGGTATTAATTATGGAGATGCTAAATTAGAACCATTTGATTTTACAGAATTTGATGTAATAGTATTTGATGAAATCTATTTTAGTAATTTAAATATATACTGGAGAATAAAACAATTTGTAGAACAGAATAAGCACAACAAAATTATAATAGCAACAGGAGACACCAAGCAATTAAAACCAGTGCAAGAAATAACAAATACTCAAGACTATGAATTATACACTGACAATATTATAGATAATATTTTTACACATAATATAATATTGAAAGAATGTAAGAGACTTAACACACAGGAAGATAAGGATAAACTCAAGAATATAAAATATGATATTTTTATTAATAAATTACCAATTAAAACTATTATTGAAAAATATTTTGAATACACCACAGACATAAGTAGTTCCAAAAACAACATAGCATTTTTAAATACAACTTGTAAAAATGTATCAAATGAAATTAGAAAATTAGAAAATAGAAAAGATGAATATGAAGTAGGAGAATTTTTAATTTGTAGAGAATATACTAAAACTAAAACATCAGTTTTTAATGTAAATTTCAAATATAAAATAGTTCATATTGGAAGTGATGGAATATTTACATTAAAAAATGTAAAAACCGAAATTTTACAATCCGTAGAACTTGCTAAAATAAGAAGCAATTTTATATTTTCTTCTTGCTCTACATGTCATTCTACTCAAGGTAGTAGCATTGATGACACCATAACAATTTTTGATTATAATCATTTTTTGGTAAAGAATTATCCAGAATGGATTTTTACAGCGGTAACACGTGCTCGTGATTTAAACAAAGTCAAATTTTATAAATATACAAAGGATGTTGATGATGTATTTAATCAAAAATGTATTATGAGTTATTTTGAAAGGAAAATTTTGAATTATAAGGAACAAGACAGGAAAGCAAAAAGAAGCATACCTAGAGAAGGTTATGTAAATACTCAATGGTTTCTAGATAATATAAATAATCAATGTAATTACTGCGGATGTGGTTTTACTATTGATATGAAAAATGGTAATATCATTACAAATCTAACAGCACAACGAAAAGATAATGAATTAACTCATACAATAGAAAATATCATCCCATTTTGTAAATTATGCAATTGTAGTTGTAAATGATGATAATTTTTAATTTAATTATGATAATATAATTATAATTTTAATTTAATTTTAATTTAAAATTAAATTTCTTGTAAAAAGTATTTAAAGAAATATTACCTATATATATTATATAGCGAGATGATGAAAACCAAAATCAATAGTTATATCAATAAAAAATGCTATGATTGTTGCCACTTCAAAAAGGAAAATATGGAATTGTATAAATTGAATTTACATAATGGAATAGTGAATAATATTATTGATTATGCATTGGACGAAGAAGATGTATGTAGAACTTGCAGAAGATGGCGACGATATCAAAATATAATAGAAAATATTTTGGAGATTAAAAAAATAGATAAAAGAAACGTAGAAGATGAAATTTTAATATTTTTAACCGTGTATGGAAGACCACCTTATAGTTATGTTAGAATATTTCTAAAAATCAGTAAGAAAAAATATAAAATGATTGAAGGTATATTATGGATGTTGACCTATTATAGCAGGGAAGGTTTTGATGTAAAAGAAGACATTAAAACATATATTGAAAGTAAAAAGTTTAATGTTAAAAATACAGTGAGAGATATTAATATTATTTTAAAAATAATGCATGAAAGACATAAGTTATATATACAACTTAGTAGTCATCAATTAAATTATTATCCTGAACTTAAATTATGAAATTTTATCTACATAACCTAATTTAATTTTAATTTATTAATGAAATTTAATTTTAAATTAAAATTCTTGTAAAAAGTATTTAAAGAAATATTTTATAATACTATTATATAGTTTGATGAGTGATACAGTCCACGATGCTAAAAATATATTGAAAAAAAGGTTTATGAGTTATAAATGCAAAGACTGTGAAATGCTAAAATTACCAATTGAACGCGGTTTTACAAATGGCGTTTGTAATAATATTTGTCAATACATTATATGCAATAATTGCAATAGAATTATAAACAAAATTGATGATATGAATAACAAAGATATTGATATTATAAATAATGAAACTCTTGATGATGATTTAGAAATATTTGTGTTTATTGTAATGAATAATTTCTTAACTATAGAAGGGTTTGATAATTTACTAACTGAGTGTGATGACGAAGGATATAATAATGATTTTATTTTTAAGTATTATAGTATGGTAAAAAAATTATATAACGTTTCTTTTAATATTAAACGTTTAAAATATGTTATATTGTTTGATTTTTTAAATGAGTTTTTAAATGATGAGTATAAAACTCACGAACTTAGATATACAATAACACGTGCAATTGGAATAATGGGAATGTTTAGAAAACAAATAGGAAGTAATATTTATAATGAAACAACGTGTGATAAAATAATAGAAAGAATTAAGGAAGAATGGTGCCCGTAAAAAACGAATGAACCAGACCTTGCCCATAATATGTCTACAAAAATTGTGATAAAATTTATTGTAAAATAATTTATCATAATTTTTGGAATAATATTTTTTAAAAATTTATTTTTTTGTTTTTTTGTAAAATTTATATTTTTTTGATTTTGTAAAATTTATTTTTTAAAATTTATTTTTTTAAAATTTCTTATTATTATTTTTTTAAAATTTATTTTTTATTTTTTAAAATTTATTTTTTAAAATTTATTTTTTTTTTAAATTTATTATTTTAAAATTTATTATTATTTTTTTAAAATTTATTTTTTATTTTTTAAAATTTATTTTTTATTTTTTAAAATTTATTTTTTAAAATATGGATGAACTTACTAGGAAATTACCTGCTTTAAAATGTTGATTTTTGAAAATGTGCTGTTTGAGGTGCTGTTTTAAAATGTTGCTAAAAGTGTGGGGGGGGTCCTGGGGTTTTTTCTAGAAAAAAGATGGGCAAGGTCTAGTCTAACTGATACGTGGCCCCCCCCCCCCCCCAAAACCCAACGTATTTGACGTCGGGCGGGGGGGGGTAAGGGGGGGGGGTTATCCTCTATCCTCTAGTAAGTATCCGACACGCCGAACAATGTCGGCGGATATGTGATATATATATATATATATTCATATATATAGTATCAATATGTTATGACTAGTTCCCCCCCCCCCCGGCATTTGGCAGTCAGGTTGGCTGACGTGGTGTCGGATCTCTTCGGTCCAGCGCCCATCTTTCAAGACGCCAGCAACTCTGCCCAAAGCCAAGTCGGGTCTTGGAGAAAACATTTGGCGTTCGAATTGTTGGTTTCTCCTTTCGGCTTCCCTTGTTGGTTTCTCCTTTGGCTTCCCCTGTTGGTTTCTCCTTTTGGGTTCCCCTGTTGGTTTCTCCTTTTGGCTTCCCCTGTTGGTTTCTCCTTTTGGCTTCCCTGTTGGTTTCTCCTGTTGGTTTTTGCTGACGGTTTTCTCCTGTTGGTTTCTCCCTCCTGTAGGTTTCATCCAATACGTTTCCGGTTTTGGTTTCTCCTCACTACAAACGTTGGCTGAAAAACACAAAGCACAAAACCCAGCAAAAACCCAACACACAATTGAATCCCCTGTCGCTTATACACACACCCAAGCTTCTCACCTTTTCCCAAATGCAATCCAGGTTTTGTCATGGCCCCAAAAAACCTTTCATTTGTGGCGCCAAAGGGCGCCGGAGATTTCCTTTTGCCCCATGGGCCAAGCTTTTGGTTTCGAAGGTAGAAGGTAGAAGGATTGCCTTTTATTTTCCTCAACTTGGCACCCAAAACAACAGGTCAACACCGGTGAGCTTCGGATTTGCGTTTGTGGCTGAGGACTTGTTATTTTTGAATGGGGTGTTTTTTGGGGTTTGGGAATCAGACCGCTTTTGGAGGGACCAGAACCACCCCACCCCACTAATAACCCAGTTGCCCAGTGACGCTATTCTTCCCTTTTTCTTTGGGGGGAAGGGGCTTCCCCTTTGAACTCAACCAACCAGAAAAGCATGCACTTTGTTTTTACCATGGCCACTGGGCATCTGAGATTATCAGGTTGGTTGATTTACATGGGGTCAACTTTGAGGGGTTGCCCCCCTTTACACCTACCACTACCCCTCCTACCCCCTCCCTACCCCACCCAATCCTCTGCTCCCTCTGTTCCCTTTGTTCCCTTTGTTCTGTTCAATGCTCTGTTCCTTGTGTTCTCTGTTTGCTACCACCCCCCTACCTCTACCTCCCTACCCCCCCCCACCCCTTTCACCCCCTCCCCCCCCAACTCCCCCACCCCCCCCCCCCAGCCAGCAGCGTCTGAGGCCACCACCGGGGCTTCCTGCACCGCCTGGACGTGCCCAGCTCCGGCCTTGTGCTGGTGAGCCGCAGCTACGAGGCCTTCTACGAGCTCCAGGTGCAGCTCCACGCGGGCCAGGTGCGCGCTGAAAGGAAGCGGGGCCAAGAAAAAGTCAGAAGGGGATGGGTTTTGCCCATGGGGAGTTAAATGCTGAGCGGCTTTGAAACAGATGTGTTTTGTAGGATGGTTGGAGTTGTTTTGGTTTTTTGTTTTTGAATGTGTATATATATATATATGTATAGATAGGCAATTCAGCTTTTTGGCTTAAAACGATGCGTTTAGTTTAAGGTTGGTTTCAAGTAGTGTTTGATAGCTGTTCAAGATTGAGTTCAACACACGTAGGTTGAAGTTCCAACGTTCTATCAGTATGTTTTCCAATCATGACTTCAAGTGCTACGGTTCGAACAAGGAGTTGAGTTGAAAGGTGGCGCGTCACTATACGGCCCTCGCCCACGGCCGGGTGCCGCAAAGTCGCTTTGTGCGGGCGCCTTTGCTCACGACCTCCAGCGAAGTTGGCACCACGTGCGGCCGGGGGCGGATGGCGGTGACGGAGCTGCGGCTGTTGGAGCACTGGGCGTGGGCGTCATTCTCCTTCAGCCGCCTGGAGTTGCGGATTGCAACAGGCCGAAAGCGCCTTGGCTGGATTGGTGTGCGTTGGTTGGTCAGTTAGCTGGGGTGAACATAGTTGGCAGTGGTTTGCAACATTAGGCCCAAAGCAAACCACTATAGGATCATGCTCAGGTGGATGATGTAAGAATCCCCTGCCTTGGTGGGTTGAGAGGCCACATTTCCAACCAGCCAACAGTAAAATTCAAACTACCCAACCAATCAGCCGCCAAGAGAAGTTGAAGATACACTCTTTTCAACACACATGGAAGCTGACAGAGGAGGGGTTTTGGAAGACTATGGTCCTGTCCATGATTGCTGGAGAGTCGATCTTGCAAATGTTTGTACCTTTCGAGCAACCCTGCTGTCATGGGAATTTTAACCCCCCTTTCCCCCGAATCCTCCACATCACCACAGTGATTCCATGTCCACGTGCAGGCCACCACGAGAATCGGCGGGTCAAAAACCCACCGGGTAAGCCTTCATTCTGGTTTTGTATCGGGAAGCCCTTGTTTGCGTACAAAAGCAGGTAAATGAACCCACTGGGTTGGGCGACTGAAACTCAACAGCTGAAAACGGGTAGCCCTTGGTGACTGGGTTGGGGGCAACTCTTTTTCAAAATCCGCCGAAAAATTGGTGAACACAAAACAAGCTCCAGTCCGGCGGTTGAATTTCGATGGAACGCATGGGATTTCGAGGCACCAGATCCGCAGCCACCTGGCCTTCTTGGGGCATCCCATTCTGGGGGATGGGCTCTACTGCAGCCAAAGGACCTGGCGCTACGACCAAGGCGGGGGCTTCGAACCCGGGACTGTGAAGGGAAAACTCAGGCGTTGGACGTGGGTCAGCCATTGGAATCGTTGGAGGGGCCTGGATATTCATTGGAAGGGTTGTTTGGGCCTAAACGGCTGGTTTGATTTTTCAGGCGGACCGTTGAAGGTACAAAGGGCAAGTTTGGTTGGACTTGTTGGGCCAATTTGCCGAAGTGAGACGGTGAGACTTGTTATTTGGGACCATGTCAGTTGGCATTCGCGGTTGGCTGCCCACTTCAAGAGTCGTGGGCTTAGGTTGCTGTCGTTTTGACCAAGGCGTGGTTGATGGCATGCAAGTTGCCTGCCTATTTTACGGGTTTCTAGCGGTTCCACTGATTGGGGGGGGGGGTGAAACAAGCTCACTATGTAGGTGCTTTGCTTGGTCCAGGTCTTAGCTCAGTCAAGTTCTGGAACCATTGTACAATTCGCAGGTACGTGTTTCAAGAACCAACCCCCTGGTCCAATCCCGAAGGGAAACCACAAGGATGTGATGTAAGCAATGGTTTCAACGTGGTTTTGACCAAGGGATCAACTCGCCCAACTGTGTTAAATATGGCTTGTGTATTTGCAGAGCGCCCTTTAAGGTCAAGCCTTGCCCTTTGAAGGGGACCCCCAAAACCATTGATTTTCCAGACTTCATTGTGAGAACCAAACCCTGCTCAATATGGGTTTGTGTGTTTGTGTGCTTATGTGTTTGTGTGCTTATGTGCCTGTGTGTGTGTGTGTTTTTGCTTGCTTGCTTGCTTGCTTGCTCGTTTGTTTGTTTGTTTCTTTGTTTCTTTGTTTCTTTGTTTATTTGCTTGCTGTTCTTGCTGTTCTTGCTGTTCTTGCTGTTCTTGCTGTTCTTGCTGTTCTTGCTGTTCTAATTTTGCTTTCTTGCTTGCTTGCTTGCTTGCTTGCTTGCTTGCTTGCTTGCTTGCTTGCTTGCTTGCTTGCTTGCTTGCTTGCTTGCTGGCTTGCTCGTTTGTTTGTCCGTTTGTTCGTTTGCTCGTTTGTTCGTTTGCTTGCGTTTGCTTGCTTGCTTGTTGGTCTGTGTTTGTTGGGAGGCCACGCGTTTCCGGTCCCCGGCAGGCCTCTGCCGCCGCCACTGGCTGCACCGCCACTTCCTCCGCTTCTCGGACTCGGCGAGTCCCACTGTGATCCGCGAGGCGCGCAGCGAGGTGCCGCAGGACCTGCTGCGCGGCCTCCGCGCCATGCGCGAGATCTCTCCGGGAAAGAGGGCGAGGGGTAGGGTGCAAGGCTTGTCACCGAAATGGTCTCTGGGTGTTTGGTGATATCCTGAACCTGCTTTCTTGGGTGTTCGGCCAAGTTAGTAAGTTGGCCATAGGTGTTTCTTGTTTTTTTTGCTAGAAAAATAGGTTGGGCGATTCCTGGTTTACCTGGTGGTTTAATCATCTACCAGGGAAATCCACCTATTTCCCCACAAAGGACGCCTATGGGGTTGCCAAGTTGGCAGGCATACCATTCCCCAATTAAAGGACCTTGGCCTATTCAGCATTGGTTGGTCTTATGCCAAGTGAAGTCACTCTGTCCTTTTTAGGTGAGCCTGGTGAAAACTAGATGGATTCCACTGGTTTAGCTAGGTTTTGGTCCATTTACCAGGGCCATCTCTTTTCCAAAAGGCCACCTATGGAAAGAAGCGGGTTGGCAAGATGGCAGGGTCCCGGTGCAAGGGGTGTCACCGAAATGGTCTCTGGGCGTTTGATGAAAGACATCCTTAACCTGCTTACTTGGGTGTTCGGCCAAGTTAGCTAGTTGTTGGTAACCACTCGGTGGTAACCCACTTATAAGTCCCCCGTTTCAGTGGAGTAAACCATGTTATGAGTGGGTTGAACCCATTTGGGTAACCACTTTACTATCTTGGCCGAACATATCCGGATGCCGATTCTGATCGCCATCATTGCAAGTAGGCCAATCACCCGCCCACAAAACCATGACGGTTTTTACGGTAAATTCCCTGGAGGTCCCTTGTCCGTCTTGCAACATGGCGAGCGGAATCGGCATCCACAGGAAATTGGTCCCTGTATTTCTGGAAAAGTATGTTTGCGGGTGTTTCACGAACTCACCCATGCTCACCCACGCGTCATGAGGGTCCCTTGCATAATCCATTTTTCGGATTTTTGAATATGCCCTAATATGTCCCCTTTACGGTGGTTTTAAGCATCACTTGTTTTGGCGAGCTTCGTTTTAGGGCGATATTCGGACACATATTTGTTGGATCGGATTTGGCATGCAGAGGATTGCCTTGCGCGGGCGGTCAGACACCTGTTGGTTATCCCTTCCGGGTGTTCAGTGGCTTCCTTCAACGTGATTTTTTACATTTTCCCACCTTTGCGGGTGTCCTTGTGTTTTGTGTATGCCTCTTCCCGTCATGGAGTTCTACATCCCTGGGGCCAATTGACTGGGGATGGGGAAAAAAGCACTTCTCTCAGTTTCCGGTGAGCCATGGTGAGCCCTTTTTTGGTGGGGTTCCCGCTTTCAGGCCATTTTCTCAATGAAGGGTGCTTGCCGGCTTTTTCGCGCGCGAAAGGGTGAAGGGAGCAGGGAGTGAAGGGCTGTCCACCCCTTCGCATCTCAGCAAACAACTGATTCCTTGCCACGCCCCTGAAATTGACAGAAAGAAGCCAAAGAAGCAAGCACATTCCAAGAACACCCACCATCCACTTTATGGCTATTTGGTTGCATCTGTGGACTTTAACTGTTTTGGTCACAGCTGAGCTGGGATTTTCCGAGTTGGAAAACAGCAACTTTCTGGTGCGATGCGTAGGGAATGTAGGAATTAATTCAGGGGTTCCCTTAAAGCAAACCACCAGGGGGATAGTTTAGGGTCATTCCATTTCTCATTCCCTGCTTATCGCACCAGCAAGTTTTTGCAGCAACCAAGGAATGACCCCCTACTTGTTCACCTTAACCCTATTTGGCTGTACTGCTATTGGGTTGGATCTTTAGACTTTAACTTTTTGGATTCTCCTCATATTTCCTTTTAACCAGCAAAAATTTGAACTGTTTGCTGGGGGATCTACAGTAGCCACTAAAGTAGTCACTGGCAATCAAGCCAAATCCGAACCAAGCAAAGGCAAGCGGAGAGGCCATGCTTGGCAGCGAGTCTCCGAGGTGACCGATGCAACCGGCGCTGTGCAAGTGCCTTCCCCCTCCAGGGAAAGCGTGGGGGGAACGTGGGAGGTGTCTCGGGTGGAGGAAGCTTCCATTTTGCTTACCTTGACTTGAATTAGGTTGGATCTTTGGACTTTAACTTTTTGGGATATCAAGGGGGTTCCAACCCAAGCTTACCTGGTGCATCAAAAACCCCGGAAAAAGTGGAGGTTCTGGCAAATCACCTGGTTATCGCGACAGATCCTCCTTTTTTTGTGGGTGTTTGAGCTACAAGGCAAGGATATTGATGAGTTTCCCCTGTTGGGTTTAAAGGGAATGGATGGTTGCCTTGTCCATTTCACACCACCTCAGAAACCCTGGTTGCTGATAATTTCGTTGAGCATATCAACAGACAATTGTTGGTTTCTCATTGGCTTTAAGGCGGTGCCAAATGGATTTCGCCCATCCACAGTATGATGCGTATATGGCCATGGGTCAAAATCCCGTACCCCAAGAGAACATCCCAATCCCCACTAAAATGGACAAAAAATGGGTGGTGCACCTACCCTAAAATGGGATTCCATTGGTTTTGACTCACAGCCATATTGCAATCCCTCCAAAAGGATAGCCCCCTTTCGGAGCCCGGTGCCGCCTCGTGCAATTTTTGTGCCGCCTTGGGGATCCCCTCCGCGTGAAGTTCGGTGAGCTCACCCGGCGCGAACGACACAAAATGCGGGGCGCGAACGAGACCCCTGTTCTTCCCCACATTCCCCCACAATGCACGAACATCCCTGGCTGTCCCAATATGGGTGTGTCGTTTGAGGGTAAAAAACCAAACTTGTTTTTCTCTTTTGGCTTCCCTTTCAAAGTACGGGAGAAGGGGGAACCAACTCCAAGAAAAGAGGCCCCTATATGGAGGCGATGATCTGCAGTTTCCAGGGCGGTGCAGAAACTTGGCTTTTGGGTTGCCTTTGGTGTCCAGGGAGCCACGAGGGAAGAGCCAGATGGCAACAATCATAAATTGAAATCTCCATTGAATTGACCCACCCCTTCTTCTGCTGTTGGTTCTTGGGAAACCAAGAAGAAAACCACCCAATCCCTAAGGTCATCGGCAAGCCTTTCGATTTTCCTAGCCCTTGCACTCAGGTTGAATGGCAAACTTTGGGTGACCAGCAATGGTAGTCAAAGAGCGCTTGCCTTTGGGCTGAGCCAGGTGCTCTTTGGGCAAACCCTTCGGCAGGGTCCTTGAAAGGATGCAATTTGGGCCAGTTGATGTAGTGGAGTCCCTTGTGAAGTAGGTTATTTTTGCACGTAGCCATTAACGGACCCTGTTTGGTCTGGGTACCTCTGCATTTGCAGATGGGGGACGCTAGACGGGTTCTAACACTGGACTTTAGCTTGTAGGACAGTCATGTGTGGCGTCGATTTGCTACCCTTAAAGCCAGATTTGCAGACTTGGGGGTTCCTTGGTCAGGCATCTGGGTTTGGCTTTGTCTCGGAATAGGGGAAGCCAATGGGGAACCCCAATTGGTTTCCCAACAAACCAGCTGTCACAAGAGGCCCCCAGAGACGCCGCCCCTCAGATTTCGTGCCGAGCGCGTGTTTTTTGAGCTGTTCTGGCCCGGAAGCGCCAGCGTGTTGTTGAGCCATGGCGGAGCCGGAGGTACAAGGGGTAGTACCGAAAGGGTCTTTCGGTTCTATGTCCTCCAGTAGTGCCCTTCTCTCCACTTTTTTTTTTGGGGGGGGGGAGGGTTCCCGTACTAAAATAGACTACAGCAAAAAGGGTACCCTTATTCTAACCTCTCTACTGGAGGACCTAGGTTGTCTGGTGAAATAATTCTTTAACCCTGGCACTTGTTCGGCCGAGTTAGTAAGTTGTTGGTGACCACTCAGTGGGAGCCTACATATAAAGTTCAGTAGAGTTAACCATGTCATTTGTGGGTGTTTACCCAGGTAGAGGTGCGTAAGCACTTACTCGTTTGGCCAAACATGCAAGTAGACCCTTCGGAGAATGATCATCCCTTCCAGCAGATGAACGTGGCAGCTAACAAGCCCACATTCTCAGAGGAAACTTCTTTGGGGAACTCGTGTTTGGGTTCCTTGCGAATGTGTAGGGGGGCATTTCCCCCACTGAGCTGCAAAAAGTCTTCCTGAAAGGATCTACCAACCCAACTGATTCTCGTCGGCAGTCATCCATCCTTCTGCAACTGGCTTGAGGCCCTATGCGGGAAGCCCACCTGAGGCTACTGCACACACACACACACAAGCGCGGAGACGCACAAAAACAGACACACGCACACACACACAGACACAGAGACACAGAGACACAAGGACGGTTTGCAGCAGGCTTTCTGTAAGAAATCGTTTCCTTGGTTTCTCTCAACACCAATCGATGAACAGTGATCCGCGAGGCCTCGAATGCAAGATACAGGGAGGCGGACCTAGCATTCGGACCCTATCAGCCCGGAATGCGAATCCCAAGGTGCTTTGCAAAATAAGCATGACATCCGAACAACGGCTCCCAGAGATTGCCCTATGAGTTGAGAATGTCCAAGTAGGGGGACCCTAGAAATTGTGGTTTCTCTTTCGGTTTCCCTTCGGTTTGATTGCGCAAAACGCCCGGCATGTTCGGTGGGAGGGGAAGTTTTGGATGAAAGTGCCGCTGATTCCTGTACGCCATCCTATACCCTTTTCCCAACCAAGGGGTTACATTTGCACCGAGGGCCCCTCTATTTCTCTTTTCTGGGGCAAGTGGGCATGTTCACTGGAAGCCACTTTTCCACCAAAAGTGGGCATGTCCAACGTCGTTTTTCCGGTAAGCCGCCACCTTTGCGGGAAGTCCAGTGTTTGGGGTGTTCTTCAGGGTTGGGTCAGAGTTACTGGGTCCCTTTAGCCCATGTGACAATAGACTCGGTTGGCCAAAGCGAATTCGACCTTTTTGGTTGTCCAGGTCCAACAGTTTGTCAAGGTCCCAAAGGGTAAATCTTTTAATAATTTCTGGGTTCTTCTTGTGGGGCAACTGAATCGATTCTTGGGGGCCAGGTTGCCACAATCCAAACCTTTCTCGAGAGGCGAAGAAGCAGAAGACGGAGGAGAGCAAGGAGCCAACAGCACCGCGACTTGGCGGCCCCGATTTTGATTTGGGCCCGGCTTGGACGCACATGGCCCAAAAAAGGGAGCGTGTGCCGTAATTTGCCGTGAGGCTGTGGTTGAGTGTGTCTGCGGGACTTGCAAAACTGCCATTTGTGTTTCAGCACATGTGTTATTGTCCTCTGGTCTTAAAGCGACTTTCTCCCTGGACAACTATTTCTCCAGTCTCCGGGCGGCGCAAATGGCACTTGAGACCCATTTGGGTGTGCTTTTCTTTTAAACAGAAGATTGGTTTTTCGTTTGGGGTTCCCTTGAAAACCAATCCCTGCCCCCCCCCCCCCCCGCCAAAAAAAAAATACAGAAAAAAAAAACAAGAAGAGACAATAAGCACATTCCAAAATCCGGGGGTTTATCCATCGGCTCTTTCCTTTAAAAAAACAACTACGACACGGCCCGGGGGGGACTCGTCCGGCCGGCGTTCGGTGCCATTTCGCGGCTGAGCCGTGCGAGGCCGGAGCTGGAGGGCAATGCCAAGCCGAGCAGCTCCAAGCCGCTGAAGCCGGACGTGGGCTTCGAGACGAAGCTTGGACTGCGAATGCCGTAGCAGGGGACAGCCGCTTGAGCCACGTGCTCAAAACCGGGTAAGTGAAGGTTAGCAACAGATGATCATAGCCATAAATAGCTGCGGATATCCGCCGTCTTAGTTCTGTACATGGTTCTGGGTCGACCATTTTGTACCGGGTTTTGATTGTGACTCACTGAGACGACCGATGTTGGGCTTTGTCTTCCACGTTTTGCCTATTTTGAGACAACCCCCATATGGGTGTATATGTGATTAGCAGTTTGGGCCATGGTGGGAAAAGGAGAGGGGGGAACACTGGGTTTAGGCCTTCCAGTCCCCCCTCAAGAACCTGCACTTCAATGGGGTCGACCTTTGACGAGACTTGGGTTTGTGAGTCAAATGCATGACAGTTATTGCATGACATATCTCAATTCGACGCTTTCGGTCCCGCCAAGTGGACATCAGGCTACTTGTGCAAGTTTGTTCCAGCCAATCGAACAGTGTCCTCTTGGGCCAACAGGCAGGATGATTAGAACGGGGCCGTCGGGTACTCACTCTTCTGGAAAAAAAGCTCTTTGTTGCCAGTCTCAGGAAGGTACATCAAAACAAATTAAGTCATGACCATTGGAGAAACGGGTTTCAATTTGCTTCGGTCCCTACATTACATGCATGCCTACGAATCGGTCTTCAACGGAGGCTGGCTTTTTGGCAAATGTCTGCGGCATGGCCCGGCGAGTCGAAAATCGAGTCGCACAGGGGTTGCGGGTTTAGGGGTCGGGGGATCATTACATGATCCACGGAACCGTGCGCAAGATACTTTTTTTGGATCATGACCGGTGGCTAGCACTTCTTCTGCAAGTCGATCGCCCCACCCCAACCCACTTGTCCCCCTTTTTTGGTCGTGAGGCTTGCGGCCCAAGCCAGTCCAGACCACGCCAAACATGCGGACAAAAGCTAGCTCCAGACCAAACCGAAAAAATGACATGCGGAAACCACCACCCCCCCACCACCCCTCAAAACACCACCACCACCCCTCAAAACACCACCCCCAAGATACCCACCCGCTTTTTTCGCGGATCCGCCTCTAGGTCGGACTGCACGCTGAACGTGATCCCCTCGCTGGGGGGCCGGGTCTTGATGCCCCTCACCGACGGCGGCATGCAGTACCTCATCGGAGGCGCTTCAAATTGAATTGAAGCGGCTGGGCAGTTGCTCCCGCAAATGGTGGCGTTTCCTCTTTCTTTTTTTGGTCAAATATATATATATATATATGTATATATATATATATAATAAAATAACCAACAACAGGTACCCTCTCCCAAAAACCAGATAACCCCATATCTCCCCGTCTGGTGGTTGTACACATCACCTTGGCCCATTTTGAGGTGAGTGTTTTTCTCGGGGGCCGGGTTGAAGCAGCATCCTTGCTAAAACAAATGCTCCGAGAGCTGGTCGAGCCATGGTTTATGGCTGACCTAGCCACATATCGGAGCAAAAGCTTGGCGAAAAGACGCTATGGGCAAGAGTGGAGTTCAAGGAACTCTGAGGCCCTCGAATGCAGGGTTTCTGCCAAAGGAAAGTTCGACCCAGATTTCTTTTCTACTGGTTAGATTTTTCCCATTTTGAATGACTCCCACATGGTGGACACGGACGCCCATGCATTTCTGTCCAGCAAAGGGGCCCCCCAAATCCCGCAAACCACCAAATCCTGCAGCCGGTGCTGCTCTTTCTTGGCTTCTGCGCCTCCCTTCGCCAGGCGCACGGGCCAACCTCGGCATCAAGAAGGGCAGATATGTCTACGAGGTCAAAGTCGTGGAGTCTCACAACCCCTCGGAAGGCCCGGAGAATACGGCGGGAGCCGGGGGGAATAGCGGTTGGAGTGTGGGGGGATGTGGTGCTGCTTGAAAATGAGCACCTGCTGCAAGGCGCATTGAGTTTGGAAGGGGCCCGTTTTTCGGGCCATCAGGTTTTGGAAGTGCCCAATGGTTGAAGACTTCCTTTGGGCAAGTGAGATTATGGTTTTCACCCTTTCGGCCAAGGCCCTCCTGAATGCTCAAAACCAGGAACCACGCCCCGTGTTCAAGAAACCTACCCGAAACAATCAAAAATGATCCATGAATCTGGGCATTTGAAGGACACCTAGCGATCCCCTAGGAAACCACCAGGATGGTTTGGGGTCATTCCAATTCTCATTCCCTGCTGGGAACTAGCAAGTTTAGGTGGCGTCCACCTCCAGAGTGTTCCAGGCCCGCAGCGCAGCTTCCGGTCGCCGGTGAGCCGGAACCTGGTGCGGGTGGGCTTCTCCCTGCAGGCGACTCAAGCCAAGTTGGGGGGGGTGGGTGGGGGGGTGTCGCTGGAGTTCCGTTTGGCACTTCTGCCATGTTCTTTTTGGCAGGGATCCCCTCCGTTTCCGTTTTTTGGACCTTCACAAGTGGCAATTTCAGTGGACGCCACCAGTCAATTGGTGGCCATTTTGGTGGGAAGCCGAAAATTTGGATCGGAAGTGACTCGTTTTTTCCTCGGACGGCATGCAAGATGGCAGCGACACTGTGGGGGCTCATGAAGACCCCCCAAAAAATGGTTCACCTTTCCCTCGATGTGTGGTTTGGATTTTTGAACCCTTATGAATACCCAATTTCCCAAGTTTCACCTTACCTTACTACGTTGTGGTTTGGGTCCCAAGTTTCACCTTACCTTACGACGTTGTGGTTTGGGTTGGAAGTTTGGCTCAGAGATTTGAACCCCTGCCTTTTGTGAGGGGACATGGGGTGTCCCCATCCTTAACCACCGAACCACCAATCCAAGCTCCAAGCCAATTGGAGGGAAGCTGAAAGATGTCATTGGTGTGGGCATTGCTTTCTTCCTTCGCCAGGGCACAAGAATCCATGGTTGTTGTTGGGAAACAGTTGTTACGTATTGTTGCTTGCGTAAGCTGTGGTTTAGTGGTTGAAATCCAGCCACTTATCTGCTAAAAGGCGCAAGCTATACTGTGGTCACCAGGGACTGCGATGTCACCCAACGCGAAGCTTCCTCTCTTGTGGGGCCCCACATGTTCGATTGGTGAAGTATGATGGTTTAGCCCAGATGAATACGTGCTTGTGTAGTCCGGTCAGCACCCGGTCCAACGTCCACGGAAGTGAGGGTTTGGGAAGATTTCAATGTTCAAAGCTTTTTCTGTCCATTTGCGTGTGAAAAGGTTGTGCCACTTGTAGGAAAGTTAAATCCATGGCAAGAGAAAAACAAAACCTCAGTGAACAGTTAGCCCTGCCTCTATGATTGTAGCCTACTGGTGTTGACTGCTATTAGGTTGGATCTTTAGACGTTCACTTTTTGGGATATTAATGGGGCTTCCACCAACCCCCTAAAAAGTTAAACACTTTTGCAGTGGGGTCAAGAGCAACCAAGTGGTTGACCTGTTCTTTTGGAGACTCATTGTAGTCCGCCACGGGTGGCACTCGCGTGGATTGTTTGCGGCAAGCCGCAGGAAAGCAGCTAGTTTGACGTCCCACTGCCATTCCCTCCATTTGCTTAAGAATATGTTTTATTTCCCTTGTTGGTTATCACTACTGGATATATTTTTTCTTCCAGGCCTTAACCGAATGGAAGATTCTGAAGACACCAGCTTGGTCGCATTTCACCATGGCCATGGCTTCACATTTGGGTCAATACTGTCAGCCTTTGAACAGGGGCCTCACCTCACAAGCGGATCCTCATGCCAGATGCACTGCGCGGCTCCCTTCTTTGTAGTGTGGTTTAGTATCATACTCTCGGTTTCTGTCGGGTTTCGTCGGTTTTTTTGGGGGCGCCTTTACGACCTGTTCCCCTACCATCTGTTCCCATTGATTTAATGAGTATGGCTCACGGATTCGGACCACAGAAACCCAGCCGAAGCTTAAGTCAACACACGGCACCAGGGGTCCCCGCTGCTTCTGGGGGAGACGGATGATGGCGTGTACTTTGACAGTGACGGCTTCTACGTGGCAGAGCAAAAGCGAGCCTTGGGCAGAGAGCGACAGGTCGAGAGCCGCTTGGGTTTCTGGATTCCCAAAGGCTATACAAGCGGGTGGTTGGAAGGAAGCCGTTATCTGGAAGGATGGTGGTTGGATGCTCCCCGTTTCCTTCACCCACCTTCCACCAACTTCAGTCTCAAATGTACCCTTAAAGGGCTCCCTTTTTGAAACTCTGCGGTTTGACGCGGATTCGCTTCACTGAGGAGCTTGGCTACGGTAAAAAGCATCCGCCTTCCGTGACGTGGGGATCCTGTTTAAAAGGGCTGCACTTTCTACTCCATAAAAATAGGATGGTAGTTGGATGGGCATCGGATAGGGACGGTTCTTTCGGGATATCCTGCAACCGTGAATAGGTTTGCACAAGGGAGCCGTTCAGATTTCGTTTGGAATCGCTCACATACATGTTTTCAACAAAATATAAATCGGGGCATGAGTTGAGTTGTCCGAAATGTTGATTTCAATTTGGGCATTGCCGGCATTCAAATAGGTGGCTGTCTTTCCTATGGGTGGTTTGGGTAGGCGCAGTTGACTCAAGAAATCAAGGGGTTCAAACCGCCAAGCCATCCAAGCCACCGACTGACTGCTATGTGTGGACCCACTAGTAGGGGTAACTCCACTGAACGGGAGACTTACAAGTAGGTTATCACCTGGGTCACCAACAACGTACTTGGCCGAACCCAAGTAGGGGACCCTTCCAACTGGTTAGCTCTTGACATTTGTGCCAAACAGTGTCACTGTGTTTGTATTCAGCTCCAGGATGGCAATGGGAACCAGCAATGAGCTCCCAGTTGATTGACAGGAGGACGTCCCATTCTAGACGGCGACCTTCGCTTGTGGCGGAACATGTGTTGGTACTCCCGCAGTGTTCAGTGTTCCACCTTTGTAAGGGAAATTCATGGAAAACAACCAAAAGGAAAACCACGCCATTTTGGGGTGTCCGAATCCCATCTTGACGAGCCATGCCCATGCTGCAGCTCTCCGCCCGGAGTTTTGCCGGACGAGCTCAAACGCTTGGCAATGTCGAGTCGCGCCAACCCAAATCAAAGAACACTTCCCTTAACGTTCCTAGGTCTGCCAGTAGTGCCCTTTTACTCTTTTTCGTTATTGTACTCTCTCTCTACTGGAGGACCTAGATTCCCTACCTAGCTGGTGGTCGGAACGGAGCCGTTACGGAGCTCGGGGCATCCAACAGTTGGGAGCCTTTCGGACCCATTTGTGTCCAGACTGTCAATGAACCACTGAACATCCAAGTAGTGAACCAAGGCAGATTCAGTTTCTGCACTTTCCATTTGCTTAGACTATTTGTTATGTTCCCCCGTTGGTTACTTGTGGACATTTTTTCCCCCCGGGGACTTGAGCAGCTCCAAGTTCTGGAGCGGGTGCGTCCGCCCCTTTCTGCTCCGCTGGAGCCCAGGTTCGATCAACGACTCAATTGGGAATGGGCAACTGGCCCCTTCGGGCCCTTTGGCCCCCAACACATTGTGGGCAACTGGCCCCCCCCTCCGACTATTTTGGGCTTATATAATTATTGGGATTTGGGGGGTTGGATTTGGGGGGACCCATTTAAAAATCTATGACACAAGGCTGGTCTGGTCTGTGGGATTGTTAGCGGGTGAGGCCGATTGCTCACTGCCCAAACCACGGCCTCAGGAGAGAACGTGTCTCAGCGCTTCACGCGGGACAGCACCGTGGCGGTGGTTCTGAACCTCGACGCTTCGAGCCCCAACGCCCACACGGCGCCTTGGATGGTGAGTATTTCCTTGATGTCAATATTATCATTGTTACTTTCCCAGTCGGTTTTAAAGGGCATCGACTTCACTACTGGAAATATGTTGTCATTTCTTCGCGGGCGAAGAAGCGATTCGCGTCGGGCCATGTTTGTATGTTCAGCTGCCTGGCGTCGTAAGGGTTTCAATAGGGTGCATATAAACCTCCTCCACAACCATCTTGGTCGTCGAACCCGTCAAAGAATTTGACTGGGGGGACGTGTCTGATGCAGAATTCTGAAGGACCTGCAGGGAAAGCAACTCCACCGGCTCCTTCAAAATGGGTGTGTCTGTTTTCAGGGGACCTCCCCAACAAAATAAAAGAGTAGTTGTCCTTTTGTTTTTGGAACCATACAAAAAGGCAGGTACCCTCACACAAAGACGCACCCAGATCAAGTACCGCAGAAAAACCCACGCCTTTCTCACAGGAAAATTCCAGGGGTCTGGGATGTACGGAAGGCCATGTGGATGTGGATGAATCTTGCCCAGGTGAGCCTCTTCCGGGAAGCTCGGCTGCAACTGAGAGGTGAAACCAGCTCTGTTCGCTTCGCTGCGACTTCCTGAGTTGGGCGTGCCGTTTTTTGGAGTGTCGGTACCCCTTTTTTGGCAGTTGTACAGGAAAACCACGGGAAAAACAGTAAAAAACACCCCCCCCCCCCCCCCCCAATGCTTACGGCCGATCTTGGGACCACAGCTCGCTCGGGACGAGCTCTGGACGTGGGCCGTGGCTCACTTGGCTTGCGTCCTGGGAATGACTCACTCCCGAGGCTTCGAGCTAAACGCAGATTGGTGCGGAGTACTCTGGGTGGACGAAATCTATTTCGCACCGGGTGGACGAACTCCATGTCGCGCCTAAGAAACCCTGGGAAGATGATTCCCCCTATAAATACCATCAAGCAACGGTTTCCTTCGCACCTAAGAAACCCTGGGATGACTTTCTGATGATTCCCCCTAGAAATACCGTCAAACAATGGTTTCCTATGAATTCAAAGTGGTTCGAAATGGATTTCGTCAGTGGCAACATGCAAGATGGAGCGACCACAAAAAGTCAGCAGTTTCCCCAAAAGGATGTGGAGAGGGGATGGTTCCTGTCCGCCTTTCCATTTCGCCCCTTATTTCTATGACGTGCAAAATCCAAATCGTGCCCCCAGCGAACATCCCAATCCCCACCAAAATGGGCTCTAAAATGGGTGGTGATTTCACCAATCCCAACCAAAATGGGATCCCGTTTAACGGTTTTGACCACCACAGCCACTTGGGTCAAGGAAATTCAAGAGGTCAGTTTCAGGGCCCAGAGAAACAGAAGGAGCCCTGGGAAACACCACAAGAAACAAGGAAAACTAGAACCAAAACCAAAAACAAACCAGTTGGGCACTCACAAGCACAGCCTTTCGATTTTCCAACAAGCAAACTTCTTCTCTTTTAGATTTGTCCACAGTATCTGTCCATCCTTACTATGGACCTAAGCTTCCCCCTGAGTCACACGGTTTCGACAACCACAGCCACTTCTTTTTTTTTGCTTCAGGACGGCGTGAGGATCTCGCAGCCCCAGAAGCTTCCGGAGAAGCTGAAGGGCAAGACGCTCTTCCCCCACCTCAGCTTCAAGAACATGACCGCGCCGTGGCCCCGTTTCTTTTTGCCCCCTTTTTTGGAGAGGGGTTCCCCTTTGAAGTCAACCAGCCAAAAAATTGGATGCCTGTTTGTTCTTCCTCTTTTTTTTGGAGGGGTTCCCCCTTGAAAGTCAACCAACCAACAAAAGAAAAGCCTTTTTTCTCCCATGGCCACTTTTTTGGGAGGGGTTCCCCTTCAGAGAAGTCAACAAACCAACAAATTGGATGCCCGTTTTCCCCCCCCCCCTCCCTTTTTTGGGAGGGGTTCCCCTTTAAACCCTAAACCAACCAAAACATCGGATGCCCATTTTTCTCTTTTTTTGGGGAGGGGTTCCCCTTTAACGTTAAACCCTAAACCAACCAAAACATCCGATGCAAGTGTTTGTTCCCCCTTTTATTGGGGAGAGGTTTCCCTTTAACGTCAACCAACCGAAACAAATCGGATGCCGATTCTTTTTTCCGCATGGAAATCCACTGGGCATCTGAGGTGCATGTGAACTTTGGCCCTCCCCTGGTGCCGCTTGGCTGAGAGAGATGCTTCAGTCACGGACCGAGTCATGGCCAGCGCGGGGTTTGTCTCTCTCTGAACGCGCGAGAGTCGGTTTGCGAACTTTTTAGACACCTAACCGCACGTGTGACGCACCAAAAGGGCGGCTTTCCTGTTTCTCTTGCGCTTTTTTCCGGTCCGGGCCGAGCAATGCTCAGCCTTTTTTTGACCCCAGATTTATGTGTCCAAACAGAAACAGATGAGTCTCCGCTGAAACAGAACTCCCCCTATCTATCAACCAGTTCATTTTTCCGGGGTCGACGTGTTATTCTTTCCTGTTCGGTTTCCTCCGTGAAGGTCCAGGCGGCCTTGCTAGGCCTTGTCTTTAGTGTTTTGTTTGGTTTCCCCACTCCCGGAGTTCCTGGACTTAGACATTTTTTTGGGCTTGGGCCAGGTTATATTGTTTGTAGCTTTAAATCGCCATGTTTGGACTTTGTTTGGCCCATCCACTGGGTCGGACGTGAACGATCCCGGTTCCGGACGTGATCAAAGTCGTGGGTACCCCCAGAACCAGGGACTCGATCACTGGCCCAAGGCGAAAAATTCCACCGGATCTGACCGAGTCCCATGTTTAGCGGGCCTCCAAGGTGATCCGCTTTTTCTTTTTCTTTTTCTTTTTCCAAGCGCAAACTGGGCTTCCCTTTTTTTGGCGGGCTTCCTTTCAAAAGAGTGTCTTGTCCCGCCGAGTTTGCCCAGGAATCTGGAGACATGCTTCGAACGGGACTGTTAGGTCACATGCTGCCGCTACACATTGCCCGGACGGCCCGTTTGCGCCATGTGAACGCTCCTGATTGGTCATTTGTCTGGCACTCCAGGCAACCGATGCTAGCTTTCTGCCCGTCTCAAGAAAAGCCATGGATGGCTGATTCACCCACTTCGGTGCCATTCCCTTGCTTCCGAACCAGGGATCTGATCACCTGGAACCTTACCAAGTTGGTTGTTACGTGTCACCTTTCCATGGGTGCATAATTTGGGGTGCCTCCCACCAACTACCATGGAAGTGCAAAAAGGCACTTTCCACGAGGAAAATAGTCTTTCTACAGGGGTCTGTGCACTTCCATGTTAGCTGGTGGGAGGCTAAGTGGCAGATCGCGTTTTGTTTTTCTAGGGCTACCTTCCATTTCCATTCTTTCCAGGGATCCGGATCTTTCCAGAAAACCTCCGGAAACCGAGGGAAAACGGATCCGGTTTTTGGAACGAACGATGGTTAAAAAGAATGGAATTGGGATCAACCCCTAGGTTTTTGTTGGTCTTTGTGCCGAACGTCGCAAGCAATTTTTCCTCATGGAGCCCTCCAGCCCTGTCCGGGTTCCAGCTGGATCTGCTTGGGGCCCTGCGGATCCAGCTGGAATGCGCGCCTTCCATTTTTATTTGTGTGCGATTTGGATTGAGACGCGAGGGGCGTGTCATTTTTTCGGGGGACCACTGAAATTGTGTTGTTTTCCTGTTGGTCCTTTTGGAAAAGTTCACAACAATGTGGTTTTCCTGCTGGTTCTCCTGGAAAACCCACCAAGCATGTGGTTTTCCTGCTCAAACAGCCAGGTAATGTTGACCCCCTATTAATCAACCCCTTCCTTTCTATTAATATGCTCCAAAAGTGATGTGATTCCCCACTAAAACCAGAATCGGACACCCCGAGATTAATATCCCGGAGGGAATCCGGGGTCAACATTACCTGCTTTTTCCTGGTAAAACAAAAATATGTGGTTTTGCCTTCTGGTGTGTCCTTCTTAAAGCCGGAAAAACTAATATAAATGAAAATGTAGAAAAACACGCCAGGTACCAAAACCCTGCAAAAAACTGGGCCGCCGCCACCCGTCGCCCCCTCGGAGCCCCCGGAGCCCTCGGAGCCCATGGGAGGCCCTTGCCCTTCACCTGCTCCTCGGTGGCGGAGGTGCCCACCGCTGACGGGGAGGCGGCTGTGGCCCCGCCCAAGGACCCGATGGGGGGAGTGGGGGGGGAGAGCGGGACGGTGGGATGGGGCGGGGGGGGGGTTCCGTAGGTGTGTAGGTGTCGTTTGTGGTTGTGTTGTTCGAAAAGTAGAGGTTCCTGGTTTACCTGGTGGCTTAATCATCTACCAGGGCCATCTATTTGCCCTAAAAGGACACCTTTGGGGGTCCATTTTTGTTTTTGTTGTCCGGCCGGCGGAGGGCCAACTGAGAAAGCCTGACAGCCAATGGTCGGAGATCAGGCTGTAATCAAGGCAATGCGCCGGTCGAGCGCCCATAGACTCCAAAGGCAGCAGTGCACAGGTCGCACGGCTTTCCAAGTGCGGGATAGCAGAAAGCCCAAGTTGACAGGACTCTAGCTCACCCTACCTGAGTTCACGGACTTTAACCTTTTGGGGTTTGGACAATTTTAGTCTGAAACAACTAGTTGCCACTGGAGATATGGATTGAGCCAAGTGGAGGGGTTGAAACAAATAGTTACATATAGTTGCTGTTTGGGGCCTGGATCGGAAGTCAAATGGAGCCAGCAAGACGAAAATCGGTGCCAGAGGCACAGTCCGGGGACTCGAAGATCCGGGGGTGTCTCTTGTGTCGGCCCTCTGCTCGCCTCTTGGTTTTCCGTCAAAAGACCACCCAAAAAAGGGTACCCTCAAAAAAGACAACACCAAGATCAACATGTTGAGAATTCTCAGGTTGTTTTTGGGGGTGAGAAACTTGTTTAACCACCCGTCAGAGGCTTGATCGCTTTGAGGATGTCACTTTTACACACCCGGAACTGGTGCAAGCTGGTGGGCGGTTGGGTGGGCTATGCAGGCTCGCAACACCAATGCAACTTGCGGATTCTATAGTCGGTGCTTGGATTCTGAACAAGGTATTTAAAGTACTTCTAACAAGGGCAATCCCTTTTTCGCAAGATAGTTCCTGCTGGTTGCACGCTGGCCGAAGCAAGACAATCTTAGTATCTAAGAGTTAATATCTATTGCAGACACACCCCAGACGTCAAGTGTTTCCTGTTTGCACCTTTTTAATTACCAAAGAAACTAGGACACTTTCCCGCTAGACACCTGGCGGTCTGAAAGTGGTTGCATCATATCTTAGAATCCGTAGGTTGAATTGGGAGCTACGGAGCCCAAACTGCCCCGACCCCCAAGATCATACCCTGTCCACGTTGCCATGGATACCACTAGTACTAGAGGAATTTGGCTTTTTGTTTAGGGAAAGGAAACCGTCCAAGCCAGGACCGCGAAACGGAGTAAAAGGAAGCCCCGTGTTTGTTTTGCTAGGCTTTGGTGGGTGGGTTTCTTCACTGTTGTTGGTAGCTTGCTGTTTTTAATGTTCATTTTTGGCAGGAGGTTTGTTGTTGGATCATGTTATTAGGTGTTTTGGTTCTTTTCATTTTTAGTAGGGGGCTGCAAAAACGCAAGTCTTTTGCTACCATACCAAGGGCTTGAAAGGTGTCGTTGGTTTGCTTGCAATATGCGATCGGGGCATCCACCGTAAGTGTGTCTTTCCTTCCCGAGGACGGGAAGTACGAGGTCATCTTTCCAGTGGCAGTGCCGGATGAGGGCACCTTTGACTGGCTGGATGACTTCCTGGAGAAGAACCCCAAGTACGTAGAGCTTCCCGGTCAAATGGCCCCTCCCCCTTTTTTTCTTCTTCGAGGGCTGGTGACTTGTTTTTTTTTTTTTTTTTGCGGGGGGGGGTGTAGCAAGGGGGAACTGAAAGCACAGCCAGCATTTTGAGGGGACCCATCATTTGAGACACTCAAATACAGAAAGCCCGGTCAAACTGGAGGCCATCCATGGCAGCATCGACTCTTGATATTCCTCTTGCGTGTCGTTGCTGTTTTGGTTTTTGTCGACATGCCATTGGTATTTGCCGGCATGTGTCGGCCGTTTCTTTCTTGGTACTTGGCATCAGTTTGCGATTCAATTGCAACTGGTGTCTCTTGGTGTGTAATTGGTTCTAAGATCTTCCCCAGAATTAGTTCCCCTTTTTTATGTTTTTGCCTTTTGGGGTCCCCTTTGTTTTCCACTAATCAGGCAAACATATGTTTGTTGCTGGAGTCCTAATTCCAGCCTAGAGGTGACACAGCTCTTTCGTTTTTGGAGCCATGGGAAGAATTCCCCTTGGGTCAGTTGAGCCATGCCCTCCCCACATCTACCAGAACT